AAAACATAGGTTATGTTCTATTTTACTCTGATACAAAATGAAAATGGTGGTGTTAGGTGAGAGAGAAAGGTATTCTAATTGATATCACCACTTAGCTAACTTAAAGAAGGCTAGGTAGTTTTGCCTTCTTTAATTGACATTTTACAAGTGGTATATACTTTTAGTGTCCCATTTTGATTCATACCAATCTGTTGGCATTATACACACACTGGAAGAAAATATGGCGCCTTCTGCCTTGAGTATCACAATTTACATGCTAAATCAGAAGGTCAAAATGAATCTTTGTCATGTCTAGAGCCATGAACACTGGTTCAAAATAAAAGGTACTATATCAATTTTCTTTTCCTTTTGGTGGCAAGATAGATCATTCTAAAAGTAAAAAAAATACTAAGTAATAATGAAATATGAGTTTAAAACAACAAAATCTAGTGAATTGGGATAAATACTGTGTGAAGTACTTTTGTGTGGTATGACTTTAAGTTGTTCTTTAGTCTCTGGTGGTAGCCAAGCAACAGATGGCCTGAAGTCATCATAAAGATGCAAGCCCTGGAAGTACTCTTCATGAGGAGCAGCCAACATACAATAGTGTCAAACAACACACAGCACAGAAAAGTCTGACACCAGCGAGAAGTAAGAAGTGCGAAGCCTTCCACCTGGGGGTGAGGCCCTAACCACACTGGAACACCTGAGCATCTCCCAGCTTCTCCATGCCGCACTGAAGCATACAGCAACCCCAGTTTTTAAAGGTTACATGGCAAGGAAGTTGGCCTTTTGATTAATCACCACATGTTCACAATATGCAGCTTGAAATGGGGCCTCACATACTTTCATCCCTGGAAACACGCTGTCCAGATCCAGGCCCACGACGAGATGAATGGCAGCACAGTATGGGGAGCACTCTAATGGGGTGCTCACTCCAGCAGCTCTGCCTGTACTTCCCACCCTCTCTGGGTCCTGGATTTCTCTCTTGCTTGCTTCACTCACACTGAGTATCTGATGTGCTATCCACAAGATCTTTATTGAAAATGCCTTTCTCTGCTGAATGACAGCAGGATCTTGCTCTGTACTACTGCAGCAAGTTGTAATGCTTTATCGTTACCAGCCTTCAATAAATAAACACATATGAGATCTATTCTTCTGTCTGTTGATGTTTGTCATAATCTGGGCCACATAGCTAGAAATAACAGGATGAATAATTTAAAACAACAATTCTCCTCTTCATGTGCTTCTACTGACTTGCTCAGGAGCTAGGGCTGCTAAGCACTCATTCTTCCCAAGGGAAAAAGGAGGACTTGATGTGACTGGTGACATGACAGGAGTCTAGCATCCACTGGCCCATAAGCTCTGAACCAGGTAGATTCATTTGCAGTTGCTGTGTTTGTGTAGACACCCATCCTAAGGGGCATGAGGAGGGCCATGACCTGCCATGATCACTCACATGGGTCGTTCATACTTGTATGAGTCCCAAGTGGGGCTTCCTAGTGGGGCTGGAAGTATCAGGGAGTTCGTCTGGGTTTGAGGGATGAACCCTGGTGTCTCCATTACTTTTTCACTGCTGAGAAAAAATACTTGGCACCAAAGGTTAAAGGCAGAAAGGTTCATCACAGCTCTGAATTTGTTGAGGTCCCAGCCCAGGGCCAGCCAGGTCCCAGGCAGGAAGGCACATGGCAGAGCAGCCTCACAGAGGAGAAATGTTTTGTGGCAGGGTGAAGGCAGCGAGACAGAGAAGCTGCAGAGCAGCAGCAGGCAGCAAGCGCAGCGGCAGCAGCCCTCTCCTCTCCCCTGCATTCCGCCCAGGCTAGCAGCCCCTAAGGTGGGGCTCCTTTATCCTAGCATCGCATCCTTAAGCCCAGCATTGCACACTCTAGACCCAGTACCTCTGAAAAGCTCCACCTATGACCATATGAAGCTTTGGGGGCCATCTAGATGGAAGCTGTAACACTTGGGGCTCTAATCCATAGGACAGCTTGTGAGGACTGCTCTCAGACTCCATAGTATGCTTTTCAATAAATACCAGAAATGAGAAGGAAGGGGACCATTCGCTATCTCCCATAGGCCCCACCCACCAAAGAAGGCAGGGCATCTGTCCTGCAGAGGCATTCCAAGACCTTCTCTGAATCGTCCCCTCATGAAACATCACTGTATTTGCAAATCCAAACACAAGTAGAAAATAAGGCCTAGGCCACTCCTCCAAGAAACTCACTGCATTCAGACCAGTGCTTCAAAAGACCCTTGGAGGGGCCGGGGAGATGGCTCAGTGGAATAAGCACTTCCCTGGCAAGCGCAAGGACCTGAGTTCAATCCCCGGTTCCACCAGGAAAAAAAAAAAAAAGAAAGAAAGAAAGAAAAAGACCCTTAGAAAAAATGTGTATCTTATTTTTTATCTTTATAAACTAAATTTTTTTCTTTTTTTTATTGACATCAGTTATTTTTATTTTAAAGAAAGAAAAAAATAAAAACAGTGGTAAAAAATCTCAAAACAAGATTTTAGGAGAGTAACAGTGGTTAGTACATTGTGTATTGTTATTGCCAAAGTAGTTTCTCATATTACAAGACACAGGTAAGAAATAATAAGCAAATAACATAGGTACAAACCTCTTTTTTTTAAGTCAACAGAAAATGGAAATATACTTTTTAAAGTTTCTAATATTAGGAGAAGAT